AGATCGACTCTGACCTGCTCCCTCTGCATGCGAGTCAGCAAACTCAGAGCACCCCACCATGCCCCTCCTGGCATATCGCACGAGTTCTTCCGAGCCATGGTAACATGATCAACCCAAGGACAAACTTCCCAACAAAGCTCCGGCGCCTATGAAACACAGCCAAAAACTATGAGAATTGCAAGGGGCAACACTGGTTGGAGATTCCCCGAGGCAGCTTTGCACGCACTTCAGCAATCCAGCTCTATTCCAGAAAGTGTTCCGGTTCACCCAGCTGTATGGATCCTTCTTGGAACATGGGCGGACGAAGATGAAAACCAACTTTAGAGAAAATGCCATCTGAAGGCAAATTATCCGGCACAGCAGTGCTTGCACGACTCCCTGGTCGAGCGCAGCAAGGTCCTTTCTCGCAAGCGCTGAGCACCGCGTTCCACGTAATCTGGTCCGGCACCAGCTCCATCCTGTCACATGGTCTTGGCGAGGGAAGTTTGGGAGAGGGACAAGGAACGCGAAGGAACAGGGCTGCGGCGATTGCGTTTCAAATTTATGTGCGAAGGACTAAATTTCTAAAAGGGAGGTTCCCTGGTACGGCGAACCCTGCATTCCCAGTGTTTCCAGGACGTGTCTGCGTCGTATTTGTGTCCTTTGAGACAAAGTGGTGACGAGTAGGGCCCAACTTCCCCACCTGTCCATCAACTTTGGGGTGCAACTGAAGCCGCTCGGCAAGTTGTCCCGCAAGCTGGAGCTCTGGCCAAGCCGGACTAAGCCCCCCAAGCCGTAGGTAGTTGCAGAAATTGGGTGATAAACCAGGGATATCCATACCGTTAAGGACGGGAATCAAAGAGACAATTTGCGCGTACCCCACACAAACCCATGGCAGAAAAATCAATTCAGCATGGGGGCTATAGGCGCAAATGTTCCGTGATCTCAACTTGACTCGCCCAACAGTGAAAACATCTGTGAAAAACGGGCGCTGGCACTTGCATGTGCCACCCAACATCGAATTGCTGACGGCCTCAGCATCTGCTCTGTCAGGGCTAGCGCGTGCTGCCACCGGCCACTGGCGCCCAAAATGCTGACAGCTTGGCTGCAGCAGATCTGGTCCAGAGCAATGGCCGCGTCCTGCATGTCTTGCCTCAGTTCTTTGTATACTTATCCAGCAGTTTTCTTTGCATTCCTGTGTCTGCAGTGCTTGGAGGGTGCTGCGCCTGCCGCGAAATCAGTACTTGCCCTTGCGAAAGCGCTGCGAGTCTGACCCCCAGCCGGTTCCCCCAACTTTGTCGAATTCTGGGTTAGCGTTGAAAGAAAACTCCCGTGCGAGTAGTGTTGCTCATGGTCTTAAACCTGCTTGCAATCCCCAGGATGGCTAACCAACGGACTAGACTTGTGCGCAAAATCAATGGGCACTTCTGGGCATTGGAAAAAGGTATTCCGGTGTCTTTGCAAACGGTCCCACACTTGTCTCGCAACCGCTGGTCATGGCAACCCTACCCTTTCATACCCTTTCGGCGTCAACACTGTCCCATTCACCAACTCTGGAACCCGCAGCAAGGCAGGTTTCATTAAAGGAGGACACCACATCGCCCGACCAAACGGAAACACACGGAGAGACCCATATGCTGATGGCGAAGCTGCCAAGACAAGGACACAAATGTGTACAGTACATGCATCAAGAAATCTAAATCCACAACCAAAAATCACATATAACTATAAATATATGTATATACATTATATACATATATATATATATATACATAGTCATCATGAATTGGACACAACAGGACCCCCCTCTCCCCACTTCCTGGCGAAGTAGCAGCACCGCTAGCGCCACATGCCAAGCGCCCTGCGCACGCGGCTCATCGCTTGTGAAAATAAAAGCTCCGCTTGGGTTTGCAACGCTGGGCAGGCTGTTTTCTGAGCGACAAGGGTTCCTCCCCCAAAACCAGGCATGGACACTGTTTGTCCAGCTCACGCCGCCCTGCTGGCCACCCCCCCAAAACTTCCCGGCCAAAGCCTGCCTGGCAACATGCGACCGCTTGGCTGCAGGCCCTGGTACTGGGCTCTAGCTGCCTCAGGCCTCGCAACTGGCACAACCAAGGGGCAGGCGTGAGGTGGAAGGGAGTGCGACTTTTGACGGGCAGTTTTGACCTCACCGTAGTGGGACGGCCACATTCACCTCGACGTCCGGGTCTATTGGCGGGTTTGTACATTACTGTGAATCCTGGACTGCCAGGTGTCTTTCCTTCCCCTGTGCTGCCATTCAGTTTGATGCCTACTCATGAAGCCGCATTTGCGCGCTAGAATGGCTTTGAGCCAGTGCGCCCCCAGACCGGCGCAGATTGAAAATGATCTTTTCTTGACCAGTTGAGAGGCCCTGATATGTAGGCTCCTGCAAACCATTATCCATGTCAAACAAGTACCCTGCAGGTCAATTAAAGACCCAGTCCAGCGAGCGAGTGCGTGTGAGTGCGTGCGTGCGTGCAGAAGTGACGTAGTAATAAGTAAGTAAGTAAGTGAGTAAGTAAGTGAGTAAGTGAGTCAGTGAGTGCGTGAGTGCGTGAGTGCAAGCGAGCGTGCGTGAGTGCGTGAGTGAGTGAGTGAGTGAGTGAGTGAGTGAGTGAGTAAGTGAGTAAGTGAGTGAGTAAGTGAGTGCGTGAGTGCGTGCGTGCGTGAGTGCGTGAGTGGTGAGTGCGTGAGTGCGTGAGTGCGTGAGTGCGTGAGTGCGTGAGTGCGTGCGTGAGTGCGTGAGTGCGTGAGTGCGTGAGTGCGTGAGTGAGTGAGTGAGTGAGTGAGCGAGCGAGCGAGCGAGCGAGTGAACGAGTCGAGTGCGAGTGCGTGAGTGCGTGAGTGCGTGAGTGCGTATAAGTGCGTGAGTGCGGGCGTGCGTGCGTGCCTGCATGCGTGAGTGGGAGCGTGCGCCGCCGCGTGTGTTTGTGTTTCCGCTCACGGACGCAATTGAACATGTACATAGACAAATTGGGAAACTAAATGTGGCCAGCGAACGCGTCACAAGGAGAATCAGTAACTGGGCAATCCGCCTCACCGCCCGGATTCAAATCATCTTTTAGCAGGCCCCAGCGCGCCAACACTACGTATCAAATATCACTGCACTAAAGACCTCCAAAGGAGCACTGAGGCAGCCAACCCCTGGCCAGCCACAACATTGGTCTTGTTCGGGAGTATTCCAAAACACTGGCTGTTAAGCAGAAGTGCCGCAACGAGAGTTCGATAGATGGACCCCCGCGAAATCCTATGGTTCGTGTTGGCTTCCATCCGCCTTGCCGGTTCGAGGCAGGGAATACGGGCATGACATGGAATGACCCCGATGGAACCCCGACAATAAGCATCCAGCTGGGTTTCCTTCCAGTGGGTCCACGGATAATTCTCAGATTCTCACACGGGGACAAGCACTGCCTTCGTGCGCTTCGTGCGAAGCAAGGCACGAGTAGCGGTGAGCAGCGCCAGTGCTGCTGGCCATCTCTGGCGCAAGGCGCTCAAGGCCTCAACAAGACGACTGCAAATTACACTCACCGCATGGAGCTCGAACCCAAGCATCACCAAGTCCATACATTACCCGCTGCGCCAGGCGATCCCTCCAAAAACATGGCGGGGTCTAAGGGTTGCGCGTAAACCTGCGCCCCATGATGCCGACCTTTCTGCAAAGCCGAAGTGAGATCCAACAACCCATACATTAAAGGGCCGGCATAGTTCGGTCGGTGAACAAACCTTGGACATTGCAGGCAATGTCTGAGGCTGCCACCAGTGACTGGACTAGGACAGCTGCGACAGGCTAAAGCTAGAGAAGCAAGACCGGACCAGGAGAACAACCTTGGAATTGCGCCGGGCAAGCGGCGCCTCGGCCCGTGTAGTTGAATCTTGAGGCTGCAAGGGAACCCCCACCAAACATGCATCAGCCAGCCGCATGCTTGAGGCCCTGCACGCAATCGGATTGCTTTTTTTGTGGCTGTGTGGTTGCAGTCTGCCTTAGTCAGGCAATGTCTTGGGTGGGGATTGTTCGAAGTGGCTTGTAATCAAGGAATTTGGGAAGTAATGTTTGATCCACTTACTAAACCACCATTTGGATGTTTGTTTGTCGGAGCCCCGCATTCCTTCAGCACCACCAAGTTCAATGGGAACAAGCTGCCCTCCTTTTTCCCTGTAAACCGACCTGAACAGGGCACCCGCAACAAAAGCCAGCACCTTGTCGTTCATATGAGGGTAATTCAAACTCACTCCGATACCGGACGAGCAAAGCGAAACCAAAAGAAACCCACAGACAGACTTCCTGGATGACTCATGGGTATTTGTTGGAAGCAAGAAGACATTTCTCGTGTCGCGTGGTTTAAGCTCATCTCCTGAGTGGACTGGCCAAACAAGGAAGTGCCAAACATTGCATTTACCAGATGGTCCAAACCCAAAAAGGCGACGAACGTCCGAAACGGAACTCGGGCAGTGTGTCATTCCGATTGCCAAGGCACCAGGCCCAGGTGCACCGCGTTGCCGTTCTCGCAGTCCAGCAGCAACGTCAGCGCCTGGCGCCAAGTGCCGCGGCAGGCCTTGAGCGCCACCTGGGCAGGCGTCTTGACCAAGCCCCCTGTGTCTAAGGGTTTTTGTATTACACCCTGGGAATACACCCACTGGGCATTGACCCCATTCAGGCACATTTCCGGATAAAGCAGTGTTGTTTTGAGCCTTTCTGGGTCATTTCCCAAGGGTGTAATCCCAGGGTGTAATAAAACACCCTCAGACTGTGGTTTCCCCGAAAGTCCTGAGAGGATTCACCGAAGTCACCTGGCTTCACATGACACCAAAGGAATACACTGAAAAGGTCACCTGACTGAGTTTAACACCAAAGGATCCAGGCTTTCGGATAGTTTTCAAGATGGCCAATATGTACGGGGATCCCTTTGGGGGGCCAGGGTCTTGTTCAAACAACTGAAAACCCAAGCAATGATTTCTTTGGATGTTGATTGAAGTTTGGTGAGGCGTGGACTCGTTGCTATTATTTGATCCGCTTGTGCATGCAAGTATGTATTTGTTGTTCGGAACTCTTTCTCCACTCTTTGCTTGGCCAGCTGTTGCTCTGTGGCTCTCCTTGGTTCCGGTTCCCTTTGTCGTTTAACTGGAATTAGCTAAGGACAGAGTCCATTCAGAACTTCTATTCAAACTTTGATGTACAATATTGATTTCAAGTATGCATTTACGCACTATGTCCTTTCCAATAGAACTATGTTTGATTCACTTAAAAATTCAAAACAAGCTGTTCACGCCTTGGGCAAAGGCTCATTTCCGAACAGCAAGACTCAAATTGACACCAAGGAGCAACCAAGCACGCCACACCTATCAAATCCTATGTCAGGTTCTGGGACTGACACTGATAGGAGGCTGCCGCTGTCACCATGGTGTGATGATGGGCGGCACTACTCGCACAAACACACACAGACACACACCGACACACACACACAAACACACAGACACGCACACACACACACAGCTTGCATGCAATCTTACAATACTAAGGCCTGCAGCACTCCAAAAGGAGTGATAGTAGGGTCTGGCGTCTTTAGAATAGAAAAGACATGAGCAAGGCTCAAATGCAAAGATACGGAAAGAAACGAAAGACACTGAACACATTCGAAGCCTTGTGAGCGTGGATCTTACAAGAAGCATGTTAGTAAATACTTGGCCCTGTCCAACCGCGGCACGCTGAGGTGGATGTCGTTAGCTTGCACGCCTTGGAAGTCGGGCTACTGGCTTGAAACAGTCGAAGATTTAGCAAACTCACCCCGCAAACCATATGAAACAAGTTTCCACTCCCAGCAAACAGGTTGAACGTCTTAAGCTCTGAACCAAATTCCAGCATGTTCCAGCGCCACAATTCGCTCCAGGGTTCCGAAAAAGCCAGCAACGGAAACATCGGCGCATTTGGGTGAGAAGTGGTGAGCAGGGAAGCGCCATGAAGAAAGTCACTTAGAACGGCAGCCAACTCGAAAGCTCAGAATCGCAGGGACCAACTCAATTCTGACTGTGCCGGCAACTGTTGCACACAATTGACCGCTGGAGTTGCTGAATGCAGTCGAACCACTCTGCACCTGTGCCCCAACTCCAATCGTGACCCGCGTGGCCACATGTCAAAGCCAGGCTTGGGCACTATGTGCTTCCTTCCGGCCAAAAGGAAAACAAAGTGAAGCCGCCACTGCGTGGAGGATTTCCTGGTTGTGATACACGCCCATTTGACGTTCTGCAGTATTGCGAAAACATGATGGAACCCAGCACGGGAAACAGATTAGCTCAAAAGGCTGCCCCTGCTGCAACCCATTTTGTTGCATGATGTTCAGCGGGACCAAAACGGCGACCCGCCATAGGGGTCCAAAATTTGAGAAACAGACATGCAGCAGTGAGGTTGTGGCCCTATGTCCCATGGCTCGCATTCCATGATTTGTTTGGTCACTGAGGTGTGACCAGACAAAAGGGGGGTGCACCTGAAGCATGTGGGCCGCTGAAACTAGCAATTATTCCAACTTTTTGAACAGCTGCTATTCACAAGTTGGAATGAAGGACTCCCCAGAAAACACAGCGGGAGTCTAGCTTCTTTGGGGAAAGCGCTGCCCTGCAGAGTCAGATGGAACCCAACCAACATCACGGCGTCTAGAGGAATCTTCCTTGAGGTGGATCCGTTCTTTTTTGGGAGGGGGCTGCCATGAAAAATTGGGGACTAACTCACCTGGACTCAGTTGCCCCAAAGGACCTAAACATAAAAGCTTCACCTTTTTTCTGGCCATGACAAACATGTACCAAACTTGGGGTTTTCCAAAAGGTCTGTTTGGTCGGTTTGGGACAAGTGAGCGGAGCCAAAGCCAACACCAAACTGGGCTGCCCGCTTTCTGATCCCCCGCTCAAAGTGACTAACTTTGAGTGGGTTAAATGGACCACTAACCACTTTAACTGGCTAAAAAGCTAAGGAACCGGATGAATTGCTGGGAGCAAAATGAGCCCAGCTGGCCCCACAGAGCTTCAAGTCGGATCGACTCCGATCTCCGAGCCGCGGAGGCTAGGCATGGCGTGGAAGATCTGAAGGGCCAGAGCCCAGGCGCTCGCCTTCTCCTGCGGAAGTGAGCAGGCAGAAAGGGAGTCGGCATCCGGGCATCTCGAAACCACACATGCAAACCACCAGTGGATGGAGTTGCCTGGGATCTCGATTTTTATTTTGTTTTGGACAATGGGGCAAGCCCTTCCGGAACGTTGCCCAGCTCCGAAGGTCTTGAGGCCTGCACAAAGCCCTTCCCGAACCTGGTTCGGGACCGGCCATTGGCAAACTCCAGGCGTCGACAAACCAAGAGGAGCTTGTTTTTCCGGGAAAGCGGACAGGAATCGCCAGTGTGAGTGTGAGTTCCCATGAATCCCACCATGTTCAGCAAACTGCTGTCTTTGCAAGAGCAACACCGAGTAAGTGGATTCTGGCTAAACCATGTGAGGCAGGTCGCAATTGCCCTCATGCAGCACAAGTGCACTCTACAGGAATACTCTACCTGAAGGTGATCAAACATCTGCCGAGGGGCGGATGGGGAGTACCTCTCAGCTCCGTTGCTTTCACAGCCCTACGCCATTCTCTTCGCCGAAGCATGGTCCGAACCCGCCGGCAAGGCAAGAAACTAGGAACCACACCCAAAAGGACAAAAGCCCTCCATTTGCTTAAGTCCCCTGAAAAAAAATAAACATGTTTCCAGTAGTGATAGATTCCCTTTCAAAACAACAAAGGACTTTTCCATCTTAACCAAAAGGACGAAAACGGGTTCTGAAAGAGCCGGCTCGTTCACCCAACAGCTCCGTGGCCGAGAGCGCCGCGCTGCAGTGGAAGGAGTTCACTTCGATCCGGCCTCAGATCCGATGGAGCTATGAGGTAGGGCCCGGCATAGAGCGCTCGTAGGTCGCGAGGTGCCTGACAACTCCCGTTCACCCATATAACATCGTACAACTAACTCAGGCAAACAATGGACTGGGATGGTAAATCAGACCCGCGTCGCCTTCACCAGTTCCTGCGATTTTGACAGGCTGTGGAGCAAAGACATACACAAACCGTAACAAAGCGCTTTTGCTTGCCGGTTCTCAGGGAATAAGACACACAAGTACCAACTTAAGTCATGATCATGAGGAAGCTGTGTATTTTGTTTAGGCCCTTACTAGCACTTGGTTCCAAAGGGAAAAACATACGGACAGACACAATGTTTGAAGGTGCAGTAGTCACCATGAAGTGGCTGTAAAGCAGTACAGCAGGACCTTCAAGCCACCAACCACCCAACCACTTTGTCTTCTTTTGCTGGTTCTTCGTGCTGTTTGCTCGATTGTTTTTGTCAGTTGCCAGTTGAAGTTGGCTAGTTCACAGGCCCGTCAAACTATCCCCCCCGCTAGGAAGCTCTCATCTAAACATCACGCTTGGAGGCTCACCTCCGAAATGGCCCGACCAGTTTCCTTTCAAACCACCGAGAAGGGGCAGTTGCAGGTTGACACGGGCTGACAACCACCAGAAAGATAAGAACCGCTCCCCTTCTTCAACCGACGTCCACATCGATCGATGTGCCGACGTCAGCATGGCGCAAATCGAGGGCCTGGCTTCGCGCCATGCTCCGCAGCAGATTCAGGGACTCGGCCGCGTTCGCTTTCGCGAGGTGCGCCGTGGCGGCCTGCGTGGTGACTCAACCGAAAAGCGCGGGGCTGCTCAGAGCTTCAAATGGAAAACATCCATCCGATGTGTGGCTTCCAGGGGAAATGAATGGGCAAAACAGCACCGGAACCATCTCGTTTTGAAGAGTGAGTTTCGATCTAGAGGGGTGAGGGCGCCGATGAAATGGGTAGGTGTGTTGAAACTGGCAAACATGAGCTAGACATCTCAAGGCTTCACAATAATTCGCCTCGGCCCCAAAGGGGCCAAGGGCGCTCAGATCTCTTCTCCAAAGAGAATCTTCGCTTTTCCCCGCCCCACCAAAATTTTGCCGGCCCGCCCCCCCCCCCCACCCATGTCGGCTGGCCCAAAATCCTGGCCGGCGGGCCTTGAAATTTTCGGGGTTCGTCGGCGTCCAGCTCCATGCGTCCATTTTTTGCCAAGTCATCCAGCAGGCCCAGCCCCTTCCACGCAGTCTGAGACTGGTCTCAAAGTATGAGCCCGCCTGCTGGCGTGTCTTACGTGTCTGCGACTGGCCTCAGGCCCAGCCCAGCCAGCAACCCAGCCTCAGGCCCAAGTGTGTATGAAACAGGCCTTGCCCATCCAGCAACCCGCCAGCCCAAGTTCCAGGCGCAACCAGCAGCGTAGTCCGGCTGCCCGGCAGCCAGCAACCCACCCTTCGCAGCCTCGTGGCTGAGACTAGCTTCAGGCCCAGCCCAACCAGCAACCCACCTCAGCCCAGCCTGCCCAGCCCAGGCCCCGGCGCATCTCCCAGCAGGCTCAGCCCAGTGTGCCAAGGTCAGGTTTGTCTAAGGTGTCTGAGACTGGCCTCAGACCAACGACCAGTCTCACGTGTCTGAGACTGGTCTCAAGCTATGCCAGCTACTAAGCCTGTCTGACGTGCCCCAGCCCCTCAGTCCGGCTGCCCAAGCTAAGCAAACCCCACCCAAGCCCACCCTGTTTGAGTCTAGCGCTGAGGGCTCAACTAGCGTCTATCCCAGCCCAGTCCGCCTGCTGGCCAGGCCTGTCTGACGTGTCTGAAACTGGCCTCAGGCCCAGCCCAGCCAGCCCAGCCCCCTCAGTGCGGCTGCCCAGCCCGCCGTAAACTAGCTTCAGGCCCAGCTCAACCAACAACCCACGCAAGCAAGGTCCGGCGAGGCCGGCTTGTCTGACTTGTCTGGAGCCAGCTTCAGGCCCAGCCCAAACCAGCAACCCGCGCGAGCAAGCCACAGCCCAGCCCACCCAAGACTGGCTTCAGGCCAGCCCAACCAGCCACCCTAGCAAGGCCCAGCCCAGCCCGCCCTGCCCAGGCCCCAGGCGCAGGCCTTCCTCAACCAGCAGCCTGGTCCGGCGCATAGCATCAATTGGCCCAACGTGCCCCAGCCCTTCACTCCGGCTGCCCAAGCAGCGCAGCCCAAGCTGGCCAGCCCTAGTCTGAGCAAGCAACCCACTCAAGCACGGCCTACCCCAGCTCCCCTTCGCTTCGGCCCCCGGCGCAGGGGAAATACAACGCCCCAGGGATCATAGAGGTCCTTTTTTTTCCAAGGGCACTGAGCAGCTGAGATAGTCTTGGTTTTGGATTTCAAACCTTCCGAGCAGGACGGCTTCCGAACATCGAACTAGCACGGGCGAACTGGTGCGGTCACAAGCTTTCAGTAGGATTCGGACCTTCCCAACACTGGATTTCGGTGTTCCTGACCCTTCCCTCAAACTAGGCTGGGCCGAGGCGGGCAACGCGAAGCGTTTACAATTACAATGATGGCTGCAAGGAATGGGGCGGCAACCTTTCCGTGTTTCAGCTACATTTCGGTTTCGGAGAAACCGGAGTGCGACTCCGGCACGAAGCGCCATCCGAGCGCGAACTCGGGATGAATTCCTCCCGTCCACTTTGCCACGGAACCTGATTGAGGGGTCCTGGAAGATAATTCTCCTTTAAAAGGGACCCTTTGGTGGGTTCTACGGTGGTAAGACTGCCAGCAAATCAATGGGTTGCCCTTGTTTCCGTCAAAAGCACGAAAGGTACTGCCCAATTTTGGGTTTGCAGCTGGGGTCACGGAATCGAGCTTTTGGGCTCGGATTTCCCATAGTTGGAAACCTGAAAACGCCAAAAAGCCAGTCGATTCTGGCGTTTCATGTGTCAACTCACCTCAGGAAGGTCTCTCGGCTTGCCCTCAATCAATCACCCTGGTAGTTTACGAAGAGGTGTGAAGAACCCCCAACATGAAATGCCTGCTAGGGGTTCCTTAGTCCGGGCTGAAGTATGAATGGCTTGGGGAACTGCGACGTTCCACACAACAAGCGTCATATGAGTCAAAGGAAAGGGCAACCAAGGCCAAAGGGAATTCCCAGAATGTTCTTGAAATTCCCGTGCCCCGCAGGGGGCTCAAACACTTTCTGGTAGGTTTCAGGTAAGTGTTGCGCTTAGACAGCACGAGGGTTTCACTAGGTTCCGGACATAGAGCTCGCTGGCTATCTGCTCTAGCCGGGTTTTAGCCATGTTGTCGGAGGTCTGGTTTGGTTGGTATCTTCTTCCAACCAGTTGCCGACTAACTTGAACACGCAAATGCAGCATCCAGGGCCTTCCCTGCGCTGGGGATTCTACGCTTGAGCCACAGCTGGCAAAAAAACAACAACATAAACAACACATCGCTGTGTCTTTTTGTTGAGGGTATCCATGTTTGTGGGTGAAAAGGCAAACTAACATTTTGGAGGGATCCCTCTACAGAAAAGCACCCCCACATCCGTCTGAGGGCTTCCCGTCAGGATCGACATTCAGATTTCTCGGGCTGAAATGGCTTCAAATTGGCTCATTTCGGATGCCATACCCATCACTGTCCTTTGGCGCCAGCGATCAGAACTTGACCCTAAGCACCCCAAAAGTTGGAAAATACACATGAACCCTTGCGTACATCTTCCCCGACACCGTAGCTGGAAAACTTACCCCTGCTTGTTATACGGTATGTGTGTCCTTTCATCATTCAGTGGCCATGGAAACGCATAAAACATGGCCAAAATGTGGACATCCCTGCTCCCCCCCAAAAAACTAACATGGAAAAGTGCATGTTTGTCCATCGCAATATGTATCTAATATGTAAAAGCTGTGCTTCTTATAGACATGCCAACCGAGGATCCACAAATAGAGGGCCTAGACCCCACAAAGGCGCAAAGCTTTGAATCAGCGAGGGACCTGATGACTTGGGCTCTCGAAAAAAGCCGCGCCTTGGGATCCCGGCGCCAGTGGCTGGGCACCTCTGCGCCAATGGCTTGGTTGACGTTGGAAGGTGAACAAGGGCACTTTCCAATTTGGTTGGCACTATTTTGACGGAAAACAAAACTTGGTTCACGAGCAAAAAAATAGATTTTGGCAGTTCAGTGGTTGGATTTCCACCACTGAACCACAACAAGCAAAAATATGCAAAATGGTTCTCCCAATGACAGCCAGCCATGTTTGGATCTCAGCTTGACATTTGATCGATCAAGTGTCTGTCCCCACCCTCCCGTTAAATGGCCATGGGTCAAAAGCTAAATCGTACCCCCAGTGAACATCCCAATCCAACCAAAATAGGTTCTAAACTTGGGCGAATTCACCTACCCCAAAATGGTATCCCATTGGTTTTGACCCACGGCCAAATGATAACGTGAGTTGGTGGCCCATGGGTTGGAACCTGCCAAGATACTGCAAGTCAACATCCCCCATGCCCTTCTTTTCATGACATTCCCAGGCCCCCCTCCAAGCCACCAAGCCACCTGTATATTTCACCTGCTACCTCTCGGACGAGCACAAACAGCACCTTGCGTCGGCAAATCCCCAGCTCTGCTTTTAAGCCGGTTATCGGATGCAGCTGTTCAACTGTCACCTAGTGTAACTAGTAGACTGGCATTGAAGCTGCACGGTTACGGTCCGGCCGGAAAACTAGAAAGCCTCTCTCCTGTCATAGGTGACATATTGCAAAAATGGAAGGCTCTGGCAAATGGAATGAAGCCCATCCAAACCAGTGCCATCTATTTCCAAGCAGACTAACCCAAAAAGGACACCTACGCCTCTGGGTCCAACGGCGGACAAAACAAAGTCGAATTCAAAACAGCGCTTTTGCCTTGGCAGGTGCATACCCAAAGGCCGCCTCGGTAATTTCTGAGGTGTCAAAAGGTTCCTGAGGAAAAAGAAACAAGTGTGTCAACATAGAAATCGGACCCCTTTGTCGATGGTAAAAGGCAAATACCCAGGAGGGTCCCCAATGTTGAGAAGCACCCTCACACACGGCAGGGACTCGAGTCCGGCTAGCCAAGAGCCTGGCCTCCATCATGGCTTCCATGGCGGACCTGCGGCCGAAAAAAAGAGAAACCATATCCTCCAGAAACCGGGCGCTTCTCTTTCTAGCGATTGGACCACAAAAAAATCCAAGAACTCCTGGCATGGCATAGAAAGGCTACTGGCTTCCAAGTGGAACGGACTCAAGTGGACACAGAGATTGGCCGGAAATGACGGGTTTCCTTTGGGCGTTTGCGCGGCGCTACCAGAAAATGGGTCTGCCATTTTGAGAAATGTTTCTGCCCCCTGCGTCACAGCCAACAACACAGGCCTAGGTGGGTAGTCTCCTGTGTGGAGTTCCAGGTTTCAGTCAGGAGAATGCCCCAACATGACAACTGAATGCTGTATGCCTGTTCTCACTTGTCAGTCAGTGTTTCGGCGGAATGAGCCCGTGGCAAGGCAGCCCAAAACCACACACTCCGAAAACAACGACTTCGGGGAACAACGCGGAGGACGTGCTTCAGTTCCTTCGATCTCAAACTAGTCTGGTTGGCCAGTTTGGCGAATCGTTCTCCGGGAATCGGAGTCTGGAAACGGAAACAAATCATTGCGCTTGTTCGGTAGGCCCAAGTGGTCCATGAACATTTCGGGGCCGCTTGACCTGCGATCCCCAAAGCAAGCAACTTGCTGGATTCCAAACCTCGGGCCCGACGGCTTAGAGCGATGTTCAGAGACCGCTGCAAGTGACTTGTCAGGTACGTGGCAAATCAACGTCGCCCGAAACGAAGGGCCTAGCTGTTGACAATCCTTGTGTAGGGAGCAAGTGATGCCGCAAGGAGCCGGCATCTGCTCACGCAAAGTTTACATCTTCGCGCGTCACTTCTCATCTCTGGAAATAAGAAACACTAAGAATTGCATCAACATCCAGGGTCATCCTTGGGCGAGTGCAAATACGGGCAGGTGTATCAATGTGTAGGCCTAGATTGGAGAAACACGGCAATATGGACACCGCCAACCAGGGCAAACATTCCCAGCATCCCAGCATATCCCAGCGTTATCAGCAGCAGCACAGCAGCAGCCAAAAACAAGAACAACTCAATTCGATGCCTTTCACGCCCGGCACGTACATAGCTCCCACCTTCCAAAGAGCTCACCGCGCCAAGGTGAGAAGCTGAGCCGACAATGTCTCACGGCATGGGCATTCCAACAGGCACGAGTTGGTCAAATCATTTGCCCCTTGCAGGAATGTAAAAATCGGGCAGAAACCCTAGTGAGGCCCTCACAACCTCGGGTTCTTAGAACCTGTCTGGGTAGGGCCTGTTTTTCAGGTACGTGCCCAGGCCGGTGGCGCCACCACTGCCTAGCCATTTGAGTGTGTCTTCAAGGGGATCGTGAACTACAAATTGGGTCTTTCCTGTTGGCTTCCCTCAATAACCATGCGGCAGGCCTACATGGGCCCCATTTCGACACACAAAGTTTTTGGTCGATCTTGGGCCCACATTCGCTTACCCTATGTCCCGTGCCAGACACTGGCAGCTGCAACGACTGAGATCAAATCTCGCAGGCTGGTAACCTGGATGTTGCCTTCGGATGGTGCCAGGGTGGCACAAGATGGAACTATGATTTTTGCCCAGTCAAGACCAGACAAATAACAAATCAGGTTGAGCCATTAAACAACAAATACCTCACTCAGGAATTGAGTTGGTTTTCGTATGTTTCCGTGTTGGGCTTCCCTTTGAATGCCAACCAACAGGGGGTCCACCTTTTTGAGACAACACTCACGGCAAGTTAAAAGCTTGTGATGCGCCTTGCCTTGCTGCCGGCAAATGTCTGGGGCTCAATACCCAAAAGGAACATTCACCGCAGTTGTTCAAGTGACGGGGCCCCTGGTCCTTTTGTCTTTCGGGATTGCTACCGCATTCAACATCAACCGACCTGAGTCGCGCTGGTTTCTGTTTTGTCCCGAATCCTGCTTTGTGAAGCCAGTTTGCGCCTGTTCAAAGAATGGCAAACAAATGACATGCTTTCATGTGGCTGTGAGTCAAACAAATGTGGACCACAACCTGCGGTCCCCTGATGGTTCAATTTTGACCCATACCCATGTTCTTACCTCCTTCAAAATGCCCACCAGGGCGCGTCTGCAGGTCCCATGCACCCTGGGACGATAGAAGGACTCAGGCGCCAGGCCCCGCTGACAGAGAGGCTTAGACCTCAGAGTGCAGGTCTTTCGTGCGCAGAACTTCAGAAAAAGCAGCCCCCCGCCCTTCCAAAACCTTTCATGGCGTAGTGGTCTGTAAGGAGTGGAGCATCCGTTTCTATGCATGTTTTTTGGGGTTACGGGTTACATGATTGACCAAGCGATGCTTTCAGGGGTTGTTCAAAGTGGCAACATGGCGCCGCATCAGGTCCTTACAAAAGGCGCCCAAAATCGCAACTGTTGCCTTGACCTCTTTTGCACACCTCGTTGATCAAGGGAAACCTCGGAGTTTCCAATGCCTCCTTGCCAAAGGGTGAACGCCCTAGGGTTCAACCCCCTTGAAAGAAAAAAGAAAGCTTGACCCGATTTGGAGGATGACAATTTTTGGGAGGCTATATATATATATATATGAACCCCCCATTCTTTTCATGGTGGTTTGAACCCCCAATCCCTGGAACAAGGCCTGTGACTCCACCAAACCAATGGAAAAACGACCAACGCCGGCCGATCCCAGGCGCCGTCGTCCCTCCATCAGCTGAGCTCCAGGCGAAGAACTTCTTCCTGCTCACCTGCGAGAATGCGCGCTTTCGGCTCAAAAGCACGCTGAAAGGAAAACCCCCACGTTACCCTTCCTCCCACTAACATGGCACCTGTGGGAGGGTGGAAGATCAGTTTCCTCCTGGAAGGACCCCCTGTGAGGTGCCATGTTGGTGGGAGAGAGGGTGGGAGAGAGAGTATGTGGGGGAGCGGGGGTCTCAAACTAGGAGGCAGCTGAAAAGGCCAAAAGTGAACCCTCTCGAGACTCTGCTTTACTTTTGAAACTTGTTTTCTTCTTTAGTTACTTCCCCTCCCCAACACCTCCCTTCTTGAAAGCCTTGTCCCTTTCCCCCCAACTCCCGAGCGTTAAGCCCTGAACAACCCAAAACCTTCAGCCAAAACCCTAAAGGACGGACCCTAAAGTCCCGAACCCGACGCCCTAAATCCCAGTCAAATCCCAGCCCCGGAATCTCAAGCACTAGAACCTACGCACTAAAAGAAGAAACCCTAAAATCCCAAACCCTAAATTGTCCCAAGGGGGGTCAGTTTTATGGTGGGCTATCCATCCGTTTTGCGGCTTGTTTGGCTATTTGGCCCTTCTGCTTCTCTTTTCTGGGCAATGCAACATCTATATACTGTAAGTATCACAGATTCCCTTTAAATGCCAACCTTTGGCCCAAAGAGGATGAAGGGCATCCGGCACCTTCTCGTATCACTTCTTTGGCAATGCCTCTCCCTTTCGTTGGCCGAAAGGGAAGACAAAGGTCACATGTCTTGACTCACTGAGCTTCTAAATTGCAACCTGGGGTGCTTCGGTTGGCGCGGTGATCTCACGGCAAGGAGCTCTTACATGAGACAACGGCAGGGCAACCCTTTGGGCAGGAAGGCAACCAACATGACCTAGTCAGGCTGAAGGAGACCAGGAACATGTCCCTAGAGGCGCTTGAGACACCACGCAGAACAGTTTTATTTGCGTGGTTTAAGATTGGCCCAAGATTGCACTCTGCCGAGCGCAAGCACCATTATGCCCCCAAACTCAGCACACGGATCTCGCGAAGCAACAAACAAGGTGTGGAAGATAGGGAGCCACAGCCAAAACAATGTTCCGCAATCATTCCCTGCAAACACATGCCCATGAAACCTCGGGATGTGTGATGATGGGTGGCGTCCCAAAGGAACGTCGTTCCACCCACCTCAGATTGGGTTTGATGACTTGGAGAAACCATCAGCTGCTACGTAAGCCGCAAGGTTTCCCCCACCTGAAAAGCGGGCGAGGGCGGTGGTGCTTTTTTTGCTGATCCAACCTTGCCAGCGCCCGTGCCTCACGCGATCAAAATCATAATGTCATAGGGAGGTTGCGGATGCGCACTATGTCCTACAACCACCACTCCCGCCTGCGAGTCGGGCCGCCAAATGTACTCATACTCCCCTTCGATGGCATCGAAGGTGCCGTGCTGAAGATATCTGAGCACGTGCTCACATGGCCAACTTATCTTTTTGACCAATGGTGTATCGTTTGGGCTCACGACTGATGGGCCAAAAAGGGCAACCTGAAGGGCATGAGCATGCAACGGCTCGCTTAGATGGGCTTGGCGATTCCGTGGCTTGTCGGAGAAACGGGGGCTTGGCCCTATATGGAGTTCATGTCAAGCCGGCCGCCAAGCAAGCAATCAAGCTAGCAACTGTTCTCAAGCTAGCAAGCTAGCGATCGACCACCCGTTCAAACAAACCAAGCAATCAAGCACAACAAACTTCCGTGAGAAACCAACAAAACCTTCACTTGGTCAAAAGGCGTGCCTGCACTTCATGGTGAAGCGCGGGCCGATTTCTTGGAGTTTGCACTTGGTGCCCTCCTCCGAGAAGTTGTACCTGACATGTCACTCGCCCGTCTTGCAGCCGTTTCGATCCAGAAACCAGCCTGGTTTCGAACAACAGGTCTTCCTTGCAGGTCAAAGATGTTTCTGAGTTAAAATATGATCCCCGCGGCGCCTTGACCCCTTCTAAACAAGCCATTTTTTTAGTGCAAAAGGACGTCGTTCAAATATGCAGTCAGAAACACCCGTTGAAAGGTGCCGTTCTCCTTGGTTTGCATGGTGAGCTGCCCTGGAACCAAATGAGGCATTCTCCCGGATAAGATCCGGGAACGCCTGGGATAGGCCGTGCCAAACATCTGAGCCCAGCCAACCTGTAGTGTCTGAAGAACACAAAGTCGCGCTGGTTGTGGAAGGTGATGGTCCTGCCGTCGGCGCGCGGATCCCCGGCTCCCCGGATCCGGCTCAGGACCCGAAGCAGCGTCAAAAAAAGTTGGACCCGCATCTTTAGTGCTTTGAATGCCATCCAGCAAACGGATCCAGCTGTTTGCACTTTGCCTCACTGAATTCAACTGTCCGGCATCCTTGCGTGGTTCACCAAAGACATATTTGCCAAGCAAGGCAAAGTTGGATTCTTCAGCGGCGCTGCTAGAACAAGGGGCCTTTTTTGGGTTGACCAGTTTTAGTGAGGACTTCGCAACCTCGACTCACAAATTTCAGACCCCGCTGGCTGGATACTTTCAGCGCCTCAATTCCTGGAAAGTAGCGAGCATGTGGCATGCTTGGCATACAGGCGACGGAAAAATGCACAATTAGTACGCAGCATATATACGCAGTGCTTTCCTTTAATGTGAGGTTTTATCATTGCGGGGATTCGTCAGCGCCATCCTCAAAGCACTGCTCCTCCTGGCTTTGCATTGTGCACCTGGATGCACCGCTTGGGTCTCCACTTCCACCATGGGGTTGCAGGACAGAACACACTCGTGGCCGCTTCCCACAGATTTCTACGGAAGCCGGCCGCAACCCAACATGCATCCAAGCCGTCAAGGGACTTGGGGTGATTGAAGTTTAACAGAGAAATAGGTGGCAATCATGAACCCAGGGTGACAGGCGCTGACTCGGGTCCTCCTGCCCTGGAAGTCTGGCCTCAGCACATTCAATAAGCAACCGGTATGGTGCACCTGGCCGACGAAAGGAACATCTATGTTGGCCAGTCTGTGGCAAATTGACTCGCAACATGGACGCAAGCAACCTGGGAAATCTGGGCCAAGTTGTCTTGTATTCATGGCGATCACTTGATAATGTACGGCCTACTTGCAAAGTGACTTTTTTCCAGGCACCTTGTGACTGACAAAGGGCAAGCCGTCCGTCTGAAACACAGTAGGCACTTCTTGTTCACAAGCGGAAGATGTTCGACCCATTCACGGACCGCTCCAAGAAACGACAATCTGCAGGCATAATTCAAAACTCGTTTTGCCCAAAAGCGGGACCTCTATTTAGGATTATTTAGGCAGCTTCATTCGGAGGAAAGACGGCTCAAAATCAACAGGCGGCCCTCCAAAAAACAGAGCTTCGCGCTTCCTTGTGCGTGTGCGGCCGTTTTCAGAAAGCCTGTGCACGAATCAACCAAGTGTCTTTGTTTAATTAGATAGGTTCCAGAAGGTGATCACCGTAGAGAAGTGGTCACATAGCATCATAGCGTTGCCAAAACGCTGACAAAGGACGTGATTGAAGGTGAATCGGCCCAATGCTTGGGCCAGGCAACAGATATTAAAAAACGCGCGCAAGGCATTCATGGCAAAGGGTTTCATAGCCAAGGAAAAAGAGACCAGGGGCCACAAAGAACTATGAACATCTCATCAAGGCGGTTGATAAGAACAAAGCCAGTGCAGCCTAGTTGTCTTTTGTTTGTGCAAACAGGAACCGTGACTGTCACTGCTCCAATGCTGTGCGTGGCACGTGGCCCGCTACCTTTTCATTGGTGCTTTGGCCACGTCTCTAATTGGCCCTGGTGTTCAGAACCCTGCATGACCGTCCAATAACGCGCAAGCTGGGTTGATGAAAGGACAGAGTAGCTGCAACCATGCCTCCAAGGTGGGCTAGGGTTGGTTCCCGAATAACCTGTAATCTTCTTAGAGACTCTTAGTGGGTTGAGCCTTGTTCAGACCCAGAATAAAGCCGTGCCACTGTCTTGCTGTCAAACCCTGATCGGCCCGCTTCCAAATGCCTCCCCCCCCCCCCCCACCCTGGCAGTAGTAGCAAACGAAACGAACGGTGCGTGATGTTATTTTCATCACACCTGGAAGCCTTAATCTACGGGTGATCTCAGTCCGACCCCGGGGCTGAAAAAAACGAACAACTCAAACTGACCGTCATCTCAGTGACGCCTCGCGTTTCAACCATCAGCGCAGCCAGCAGTTGATCAAGCAGCCATCTCCTTCGCACTCTTGTGGCCAGAAGGAGATCACATAAACCCCATCTCTGTTCTGCTTATTTCAGAACGACACCAACTGCTCCCTCCCAAATGGGGACTGCCCAACAGGTCCGGCCGTCTCGATTCCTGCCAGAATCGTCTTCCCAAATCGTTCGAGTTTGGCCAACAGGCGAGCACAGGCCCGCCATCCAAAAAAAACTGCGGAACCAAGACTCAGAACGGGGAGGTCGACGGATCTGATTGTTTCATGGGCGGCTCAGAAAGTAAGTGAGGAGTGCTAACCATCCACGGTTGATCAACCAAGCCGTCAAAAAACGTCACGTTGACCCGGCCCCCACATGGCGGGGGTTGCCCTTGATGGTGGCTCTTTTAGAGGTCTAAATTTGACCCCCACCCCCCTTCAAGGGCCGGTGCGAGCGACTTCTGCAGCTGAGTAGCCTTTGGGGGACCAGCGCAGCAAACTGCCGGGCTAATCTGCGACCTGCGTTGCAGGTGGGAGGCTGGGGTTATGATCTTGATGTTTGTTTGGGGTTGTAGAAGTCAGCCAATGGGTTGAACCCAGTAGGAAACCAGACAAGTTTTAGGGATTTCACCCCATGTTGGCAACACAGCTGACTGAGGGCGTCCGGCGTGCTCTCATGGAACCTGGCAAAGGATTCAAAAATAATTATTGCCGCTGCGTTTCTCCAGATAGGATTTGGACCCCTAGAAATCGAGTCGGTTCCTTGTTGACTGCTTTCAAAGCCATCCAGAAAAGGGGGTCAGCTTGAGAAAGTCACGCGGAGTGCACAATGATTTCATCAGAACTCAGTGTGCCCTTTCCATCTGGCCACAACAAAACCAGTGTGTATCGATTGGCGACTGGGCCAACGGCATCAATTTGTGCAGCGCTACTCGCCACACAAGGCTTGCGACTCAACTCCTGGATGCTCCGAGTCAGCGACCCAGGCGAGTCGCAAAGTTGTTGAGAATCAGCTCGGGGCTGTGACCTAGCGATCCAAAGCCGCAGGGCCCCATTCGTTGACGCGGCCGGCACGAGGCTCTGATGGGCGACCGAGAAGCTTCTCAATGGGAAGCCGGAGTCCAAACGAACCGAGGCAGCCCAAAGGACCACAAGCAAAGATGGCCTAAGTTGAATGGGGTTGTGGAAAGCTTTAGAGCCAACTTAAGTCAACCTAGAAGCAACATCTTCAAGGTACGGGACAAGAATCCCAATAATTACAAAAAACAAAGAAACGGGGGCTAAGGGCCCATCCCCCCCTTGTGGGATACACCAAAGAATGGTGTGAAAAAACAACACCCACAGGGCTGGGCCCTGCCACCACCAGCTTGAAGCGGACTGCCGACCACGTGTCCCTTTGTTTCCCTTTGAAAACCAACCAAACTGAGCGGCCCCCCCCAAAAAAAACACCTCCATGTACGTATGTATGTACATGATGCTTTATTTCAAGGTAAACTTTGTTAGGACTCGCTTGTTGGGATGCGGCCTTCCAGTTCGATCGCGGCAGGGATTTACCTCCACACTGCCGGTCCAAACCACCTCAACTCACTCCCGGTCATATTTGTTTCCCCTGTGAACGGTAGAAGAAATCTCCAAACCAAAGAAGCATGGAACAACCTGCGTGCCGACCCTTGACATGTTCAAGCCACTGCTCGTACCCGGCCCCGCCGGTTTCGAAGCAGGTCGCTGTTCCTTTTTTGGCATCCGTCCCAATGCGACGGACCAACAGGGGAGAAACGGACGGACCACAGGGAAAAAACAGCTTGCCCTGTTGGCCATTTTTCCAAACCCCGTTCCTCCCAAAAAGGTCCTTTTATGTCCTTTTGGCTTCCCCAGTCTGACACTTGTTCAGTCTCTTTCCTGCCAATATCCCCACTGCCTAAGTCGCCCAAACACTAACGACCATCCCCACCGGCCAGGGGCTCTTTGACCGGGACATAAGACCGCTCCACTTGGATTTGGATCCCCGCTGGCGTTGCAGGTGGCACCGCCCTTCATGTCCTGCCCCAACTTCAGGCGCGTGATGCCTTGGACCATTGGCAAAGGGCGACGAAGGGTGGGTTCTCAAAATGGGCATCGGTCGTGCTATTGTTTTGGTTTCCCTTCAGCAACCGAAAGCGGTGCCCGCCATTGTGAGCCACGTGCCCTTGCTAGAGCAAGCCCTTGGGCGCACGAAAAACGCAAATGAGTCTGCACGTTTGTTGGCTTTGGGGTAGATGGTACGGAATACCGAGAGGACACCACCCATTCTAGCGCTGCCTCGTTTCGAGACTCACCGAAGCATACACACACACATACATATATATATATATACATATATTAATATACATATATTAATATATATATATATACATGTGTATATACACACAAATATACAATACATTAATATATCTGTTATATATACAACACACACACACGTATACATACGCATGTATATATATATAAATGTGTGAGTATACATATGCAAATGTGTGTGTGTGTTTCCCTTCTTGTGAGCTTGTTTTGGACCGGATCCGCGTCGCCCGGGGCAGCTGCGCCAGTAAGAGGTAGGGCCTGCAACATGCGGGACTTGCGCAGAACCGGTCCTAGCATGGGCTTCTATCAACCCAGTGTCTTTTTTTGTTATTCAACAATGGAAAAAAAACACATGTGACACTGTTTTGTTTTTGAAAACCCTAGCAAACCATGAGGAAATGCGTGGAGCTGAAATCTCTCTGAACCCAACGGCACCCAGTTTCGTAAACATAGGCCTTTCACTTCGCGATCGCCTGCATGGCCGCCAGTTGGCAATGAATGCGCCGATGCATTCCATGCACCGGCAAGCACAACGCAAATTTAAATACATGGAGAGAAAAAACTCTCATAGAAGGGTCCAGCACACACACATTGAGAATAGAAAATCTCAAAGAGGGGTCCCTTTGGTGGACATCATTCAGATTCACTTGTGAGTTGGTTCCCGACTACAAATCATGGCCACATGGAACTCCAAACAGGCGACAGCTTCCTAAGAATTTCGTTGCTGCACCCGAAGGAACTCTGAAAGGTACTGTAGCGAGCTTGGATCCGGGGA